CTGGGATGGATCCCATATGGTCCCATATGTAAATCCTATTTATGCTGCTTGTGAGGATCCAAGCAGCTAAGCAGATCTCTAACCATTGCCTCTCAGATTTCAGGGGGGCTATTTGGCTTCCTATCTCTGTTTATCAGCTCTAGAGTCCAGTTGTCCTGAGGACAACCTGTCCTACTATTGAAAACTGAGGCAAAGAAGGTGTTAAGTACCTTAGCCTTTTCCTCATCTTGGGTCACTCTATTCCCTCCTATGTCCTACAAGGAATGAAGGCTTTCCTTGCCCTTCTTTTTGCTATTGTTGGTTTATAGAAATGCTTTTTGCTGTCCCTGACAGAAGTGGCCAGATTTAATTCAAATTGTGCCTTTATCTCTCTGATTTTCTTCCTACATGACCTAAGTATATTCCTGAACCCTACTCGAGTAGCCTGCCCTTTTTTGCAGAGTTGGTAAACTCTCTTTTTTTCATAATTTCCTGCAAAGGTTCCCTGTTCAGCCAGGCCGGCCCCTTCCCTGCCGGCTCACCTTACTGCACACCGGGACAGCTGCTCCTGCACCTTCAATACTTCCTTCTTGAAGCATGTCCATCCCTCCTCAACACTTTTTGTTTCCAAGGGCTGTTTTCCAGGGTACCCTCTGAATCAGACTTTTGAGCAGGCCAAAGTCTGCTCTTCGGAAGTCCAGGGTAGAAGTTTTATTGATGACCCTTCATGCATCCCTGAGAATCGAAAACTCAATAATTTCATGGTCGCTGTGCCCCAAATGGACTCCAACCACCACATCTCCCACCAGTCCTTCTCTGTTTGTGAACAGAAGGTCTAGTAGGGCCCCACCCCTGGTAGGCTCATCTACCAGCTGAAGTAGGAAATTATCCCCTATGCACCTAAGGAATCTCTCAGACTGACTTTTCTCTGCTGTGTTGAATTTCCAGCAGACATGCTGCAGGTTAAACTCAGGATATTCTAAGATTCTATGGAATTCCAGTTGTGAATCCTACAGAAGTTTATAGTTAATGTAGTGTATGCTGCAGCAGTTGTTTTAATAGAGTAGAATAATTGTAAACCTCACTTTAGATATCGAATGTTTTTACACAGCTCCTGAGAAAGTCTCCATGAGCAGCATCCCACCATCAAAACACATGGCGTAGCCCCCAGCCTTCCAGGATATAAAGGCTTGGGCTTTCTAATCCATAGGGAATCCTAGCCACAGAAATAGAGGAAAAACCTGCATTTGTCAAAAAGACTTAATATTTTTTATCATTTTTCTCCTTCTTGCAGGCATGCGTGTGTGATTCGAGGCCAGGTGATGACGGCAGATGGAACCCCTCTGGTTGGAGTGAACATCAGCTTTGTCAACAATCCTCTGTTTGGATACACAATCAGCAGACAAGATGGCAGGTAGGATGTCTGTATAGGATTTACAGTGTTCAAGCAGCATTAACAACATTATTGCCATGAACACGAAAGAGAAACTCCTTCCAAGAGCGCATTTATTGTTGATGCATTTTGAAGATGTTGTTTCATTACTGCTGATTTTTATGGGGCTACATCTGTGCTGGTCACCAGTCACTGGTCATCAGTGCTGTTCTTCAGGGTTCAACACCAGGGTCAGTCCTGTTCAATATATAGCTCAACAATCTGGATGCAGGAGTTGAATGCAACATTGCTGGTGGTACCAAACTGGGAGGTGCTTCTGGCTCTCTCGAGGGACAGGAGACCTCACAGAGGGATCTAGATAGATTGCAGCATTTATCTATGATGAATGGGATGAAATTTAAAAAGGCAAAATGCTGGATTTTCTGCACCCAGAACAGAGTAATGCCAGGCATAAGTGTAAACTGGGAGAGAAGTGGCTGGAGAACAGCCCTGCAGACAGAGGTGTGGGGTTGTTGGCCAGCAGCAGCTGAATAGAAGCCAGCAGTATCCTGGCAGCCAAGAGGGCATGCTGGAGGCATCAAACATGTTTAGTCTGGAGAAGAGGAGGCTCGGGAGAGACCTTATCACCCTCTACAACTACCTGAAAGGAGGTTGTAGTCAGGTGAGGGGTGAGGGTTGGTCTCTTCTCGCAGGCAACTAGCAGTAGGACAAGAGGGCACAGACTCAAGCTCTGCCAGGAAAGGTTTAGGTTGGATATTAGAAAGATTTCTTCATGGAAAGGGTTATCAAGCAATGGGACAGACTGCCTAGGGAAGTAAGTGGCTGAATCACCATCCCTGGAGATATTTAAAAGGCACGTAGATGTGGCACTTAGAGACATGGTTTAGCATTGGACTTGGCAGTGTTGGGTCATGAGTTGGGCTCGAGGATCTTAAGGTTCTTATCACTAGCCAGTCAGAGGCGATTGTCCCACTGTATTCAGTGTTGGTGAGGCCTCACATGGAGCACTCTGTGCAGTTCTGGTCCCCACAATTTAAAAAAGATGTTCAGGTCCCTGAATGTGTCCAGAGGAGGGCAACAAAGCTGGTGACAGGGCTGGAAGGAATGTCCTATGCAAAGCAGCTGATGACTCTGGATTTATCTAGTTTGGAGAAGAGGAGGCTGAAGGTGACCTCCTTGCTTTCTATGGCTTCCTGAGGAAAGTATGTGAACAGGGAGGTGCTGAGCTCATCTCCCTGGTATCCAGTGGCAGGGCACATGGGAATGATTCAAAACTGCACCAAGAGAAGTTTAGAATGGACATGAAGAAACATTTTTTTTTACCAAGAGGGTGCTCAAACACTGTAACAGGCTTCATGTTAAGGAAACTTCCCTGTCTGACCATCCAGGAGCCACTCTGGCAGTCATACTCGCACCACCTGAGCTGGGATTGAAGCCACTTCACAGCTACACGCTCAACACACACAGTCAGACCAGGTTTCCGTACCAGCTCTGCTCCACGTTTACCATAGCAGAACTCTCCATCCTCAAAGTAATTTATTCCTGGTGCAATAGCTAAATAACAAAGTAATAGCTTGAGCTGGTGCCGCTGTGGAAGGACCCAGAACAAAAGAAATCCTGAGCCTTTATACCTTCACAGTGTAAGCACAGGGCAGTGTGGGGTCACCAGCTCCTGCTGTGTCTCAGAGTGTCCTTTGCTATGCCAAGCTCAGCACTTTGTGACCTCTTGCCTCAGGCTCGGGCTCAGGCTGGGGCTCCTGCCTCCCAGAGCTCAACCTGCAGTTGCCTACCGAGCTACCTGCAAGGAATGTATTCCTCAGCATTCCTAGAGAGGTGATCAATGCCCCAAGCCTCTCAGTATTTAAGAGGCATTTGGACAAAGCCCTTAATAATATGGTTTAATTTAATCAGCCCTGAATTGGTCAGGCAGTTGGACTTGGTGATCCTTGTAGTTCCTTAACAACTGAATAGTCTATTTGATTCTATTCTTATTTTTATTGTTTATTATTTGTTATTATTAACTTTGTGGTATCACAGAGAAACTTTAGCCAACAATTGGGCAATGCAGTGCCCATACACATGAAGAAAAGGTCCCCTGCTCCCAGCAGCTCTATTCTTGCTAATTCATGTTGAAATGATTAGGAAGAAGTCATTAAGATTGCCTTGTGTAAGAGGCAAGTGCTTAAAATCTGAGCAATCACAATCAACCAAAACAAAAGTATTGCAAATTGGCCCTGTCTTTCATCTTATCTTTTGTTTGTCAGTGCTAATTGGCTCCCTTCCTTTTAAGACCTAAAATGGAACAGAACAGCCTCCAGCTGCACATGCTCTATGTATTGACCACCAGCACTTAGAAGAGAATTTATAGATTTTAGCACCTCTCCAATCCACAACTTCCATTAAAGGTTTGACTTGGCCAGAGAAGCTGACAGAATTATAACGGAAGAGAGGAACATAGGCTAGCAACGTGTGCTTAATACTGTCCTGTTCACACTCAGGGGTGTTTGCACCTACTGTAGCACTGATGGTGACTGGGAGGCTTTCTGAGTGATGCTCCACCTCTCCAATGACATGACAATAAAATACAAGTAATGAAGAGGCATTCTAGGAAAACTAGTGGTCTCCTTTGGAGAATTATGCCCCTGGAGCTGATGTTTTCTTATTCCCCGTATCTTAGG